CCCCAAAACCCCAAAACCCCATGCAATAAATATAGACAAAATCGTAGAAATCAGCAAATTTATAAATCAATAATTTTTTTAATTTATGAGGGCAAAGGTATTGTTGATTTTGCAAATTGATAAAACTTAAGGTATACGAAATATTTCGATACAATAAAACGCAATACAAAAGTAATGCCTAGGCTGAAGAAAATGGAGTGTCTTAGAATTTAGATACAATAAGAGTTTTTCCATTGATGAGAGTTTTTTACTTAGTGCAATTGTTTTTCTTGGCATTCTAATATCATCCCTCAAGCCTATAAATGCCAGTGAGAAATGCTTTGGTTATACATTACCAATAGGAATGGCAGACGAGACAGGCTACTCATAACCTTATGCAATGGACATGGATGCTAATCAAAATATAGTAATATTTTTATTAGTTTCATATTTAGGTAATTGGAGGAGTTAGTTAATTCTACTCTTTAAATCTAAAATTTTCTGGGGACGATGCAGTCTACTTTCAATACTATGGATTATTAGGGAAAAAATGGTTGAAATATTATCCAGATAATTATTGCAAGACTGTCAATACAATATAGTTCGCTTAAGGTAATGGGCAAGCTTAGAAATTGGTAGCAGCGATTCAAAGAGACCCGGAATTTAGCTTCTTCTTGTGATCAATGCCAATGATGGGAATTTATTAATGGCTTTTTAGGAAAACAGTGCACCCGAATCTTATTTATACTAATTGAATTAAATAAATGGAGGCATGCTTTCAGAAAATAATTAATTTTACATGGTGGCGTATGCAGATTCAATTAAAACTTCTATCTTCGGTGTACTAGATTTATCTCAAAATAAGAGTGTTGTTTAAGCAGTCTGGTCTTATAAATATGAAGGTAATTCTGTATAAGAGCAGTATACTACCATCTTTGTGAATGAATCAAGTTAAAAGCTTTATGTTGGATTTGTGCAAAAGTATAAATAAGATACATTTACAAACGTTGCAAAAATTGGTGTGATAAGAGTAAATTCATTAAATGGACAATAAGATTGGTCATTTGGCTATCAATACAATAGAGTTACTACCTAAGATTAGTATATATAAATATAAGACATTAAAGTCAAGACTATAGACTCTAAGGATTACATTGGTGTGTGTTCAAACACCATTCATGGAAACTTTGATATTTGGGAAACAAGAGTTGTGTTTTCTTTGCTAATTATTGATGATACTGCATAAACTAAGGAAATGAAATCTTTTGAATACCCTGAATATCTAAGAGGAAGAGATTTAAAGATAGTTTCACCAACAGAGTTTTATGTTGTTGTCATTTCATCACTTTCATATGATACTGGGGATCCTCTTTATATTTTTAGAGTCACTGACATCAATTCAAACGGTGCAACAATCACCAAAACAAAGATTATTTTTAAGCATACTTTCACCTTAACTGATGCTTTATTCCTTGATAATTACAAAGTAATATACTTAGCCTCAGCATACAACTATAAATTAATTTTGAGAACTAAACGTTACACTTAACTTCTCAATTCAAATGATTACTAGAGATCATGTGCTGAAAATAACACAGCAGATGAAGTAACTACCGAATTCAAGTAATTCTCTACATTATATTAGTATACCAGTTTCACAAATAACTTGACAGAAGGAAATCTTAAATTTATCTCAAATGGAACCCTTAAAATGTTAGATATGAATATAGAGACTTACTACGTGCCATATGGCAAATTTTGTGTTCCTAAAGTTAGTATTATTGCCACAGAGCCAACAGTAACACATTATATCTAGTAGGGACCATTTAAATTAGATTTAAACTAATATATTTCAGGAGATGATATATGTTTAGACAAAAGAAGAAACTTTTCAATACGAGGTTATTTCGAACCTTACTCTATATTTAATAATACTTCAATCGTATTGTCTCCAAATTGAATGAAATATTCTGTAAAATAATATCTAAGAGTTAATGTTGAATATCCAGATTCTCAGAGTCTTTAGTTTATTGTATATGTAGACTTAAAGAATTGCTATGAATGGTACTGGTTCACGAAGTACTTTTATTACAAGATAGGTGCAGATCTTTTCGAAATAGATTTATTAGAGTTCTATACTTCTTAAGATGTAAACTTATGTCCTAAACCAGAAGGGAAATTACATATGTTTCAAAGCAATGAAAGTGATATTGGGCCTCTAGTAAGAGATCCGAATTCTACTACAAAATATTATTTTCAGTCAAATGATCCTAAGAATGCTGATACCTTTATTTTCGAGTGCTATCTTGTAAATAACGATCCATTTAGATAAATATAGGAGGAAGTAGCCTATATCTAGCTTTTTGTTGAAAGCTCTTGCAATTCAAC